AGAGAAATGTCAACTGGACCTACCCTAGAAGAATGGCTAAAGGAATTCTCATTCGCAAAGAAAAGCTAAGAGAAATGTCAACTGGACCTACCCTAAAAGAATGGCTAAAGGAATTTCTCTAAATGGAAAGAAGAAACCTTGGAACACCATAAAGAAGAAGGAATCCAGTAAACAAAATACAACTAAATACCACAGACTCTTCTTCTCCTCTTCAATTTTCTAAATTATACTGACAGTTGCAGCACAAGTTGTAACATTGTCTGATATGGTTCTAAATGTATGTGGAAGAAATACTTAAGATCACTGTATTGAAAATGGGGGGAGGGTAAAGAAACAAAACTAGTAGTAAGGTTGAACTGGTGAATGATCATACCAGCAGCTGTGATACTTTGTGTATATATAATAAAATATCTAAAAGGGCCATCAAAAAGCTGTTAAAAAACCAATATAGATAACAGACAACAGAGATAAATAAAAAAGCAATCATAAAAGTGTTCAAGTAACCCAGAGAAAGGTAGAAAAAAGAAAACAGAGAATCAAAAATAGGAGAAAATAATAAAATAAAATATTGGACTGAAGTCTTACTGTCTGAATAATTACATTAAGTATTAAGGGCTGAATATACCAACTCAAGGACAGAGATTGGAATAATGCATTAAAAAGTATGACCCAACTCTATGTTGTCTATAGGAAACTCACTTCAAGTATAACAATAAAAGTAGGCTGAAAGTAAAAGAACGGAAACAGTTGTAAGATGCAAACATTAATCAAAGGAAATCAGGAGTAGCTATATTAATGTCAGATAAAATACACTTCAGAGCAGAGCCAACTATCAGAGGTAGAGATGGACGTTACATAATAATAGCAGAGTCAATCTACCTAAGAAGACAAGCCAAAATATGTACGCACCAAACAAGAGGGCTGCAAAATATGTGAAGCAAAAACTGATACAAATGAAAGGAGAAACAGACAAATTGATAATTATATTGGAGACTTCAATACTCCTCTCTCAGCAACTAATGAAACAACCAGACAGAAAATCAGCAAGGATACAGAAGAACTCAACACTATCAACCAACATGATCTAACTGACATTTATGCAATTATGTCAACATAAGTGCACCCAACAACAGCATAATACACATTGTTTTCCAAGTGCCCATGGAACATACACCAAGACAGACCATGTCCTGGGCCATAAAACAAACCTTAACAAATTTAAAACAACTGAAATAATAGTTTGTTCTCTGAACACAATAGAATCAAACTAGAAGTAAAAAAGAGAAAATAGGAAAATCTCCAAACACTTGGAAACTAAATAATACATGTCTAATGATCCATTGATCAAAGAGGAAGTCTCAAGAGAAATTTTTAAAAAATACATTAAATTGAATGAAAATGGAAATACAACATAGCAAAATTTGTGGGACATAGTTAAAGTAATGCTGAGAGGGAAATTTATAGCACTGAATGCATACATTAAACAAGCAGGAAAGTCTCAAAATGGTAATTTAAGCTCCACTCCAAAAATCTAGAAAAAGAAAAGGAACATAAAACCAAGGCAAGCAGAAGGAAGGGAGTAATAAAGAAGACAAATCAATGAAATTTACTTATTTTTTTAAGATTTTATTTATTTGAGAGAGAGAGCACGAGAGAGCATGAGCATGGGGGAGGGGCAGAGGGAGAGGGAGAAGCAGGCTCCCTGCTGAGCAGGGAGCCTGACATGGGGCTCTATCCCAGGACTCTGGGGTCATGACCCAAGCTGAAGGCAGATGATCAACCAACTGTCACCAGGCGCCCCAAAATCAATGAAATTTAAAAGAGAAGACAAAGAGCTGAAACAAAAAGCTGATTATTTAAGAAGATAAAGTAGACAAATCTCTAGTAAGACAGATAAAGAAAAAGAGAAAACACAAATTACCAGTATCAGGAATGAAAGAGGGAACAGCACTACAATTCAAAAGGATAAGGAAATACAATGAACAACACACAAATTTGACAACCTAGATGAAATAGACCAAATTCCTTAAAAAACACTGTTACAAGTTATTCAATATAAAATAGACAGTTGGATTCATAATTTTAAAACTCCCTCAAAAAGGAATCTCCAGGATGGTTTCATGGGAGAATTCTACAAAACATTAAAAAAAATTAATACCAATTATAGATAACCTCTATTAGAAAACAGTTGGAGGTAACATCCAATTCACTTATAAAGCTAACATTACCCTGATATCAAAAGCAGATAAAGATAGTACTGAAAGACAACCATAGACCAATATCTCTCATGAATATAGATGCAAAAATCCTTAACAAAATATTAGCAAGTAGAATTTAACAATAAGAATCATATGCACCATGACTGAGCGGCATTTATCCCAGTTTATCCAGGGATGCAAAGCTGATTCAATATTTGAAAATCAATCAATGTAATCTACCATATTAAGAGCTAAATAAGAAAAATCACATGATCATATTAATCAGTGCAAAAAATGCATTTCACAAAATTCAACATCTATTCATGATAAAAATTCTCAGAAAACTAGGGATACAGGGGAATGCCTCATATTCAATAAAGATCACCTCCAAAAAACCTAGACCTAGCATTATACTTAACAATGAAAGACTAAATGTCTTCCTCCTAGTATCAGGAACAAGGCAAGAATGTCTGCTCTCAGCATTCATTCAACACAGTCCCAGAAGTTTCAGACAGTGTAATATGGCAAGAAAGAGAAATACAAGGCATACAGATCAGAAAAGAAAAAATAACACTACCCCCATTCGCAGATGACAGGATTGTTGACATAGAAAATCACAAAACACCTTAAATTGAAACTGTGTTGACCAAGTTTGCAGGATACAAGATAAACACAAATATCCCATTTATAATCACACCAAAGGAAATGAAGTATCTCGATGTAAATCTACAAATATGTACAGAAACTGTTCTCTGAAAAACTGTAAGATAGTGATGAAAGAAATCAGAGATCGAAATCAATGGAGAGATATATAGTAAGATTCAATATAGTAAAAGGTCAAATTCTCCTCAAAGTGATACATGGGTTTAATGCAATTCCTAGCAAGATCCCAGCAAGAACTTTTGTAGATATAGATAAGAGTATTCTAAAATTTATATGGAAAGGCAAAGGAACAAGAAAAGCTGAAACAATTTTGAAAAAGAAGTGGGAGAAATCAGTCTATCCAATTTTAAGATTTATGATATAGCTACAATAATTGATACTACATGCTATTGGCAGAGAAGTAGACAAACAGAACAATGGAACAGAATCGAGAACCCAGAAATAGATCCACACAAATACGCTCAACTGATATTTTGACAAAGATGCAAAAGCAATGCAATGTAGAAAAGATAGCTCTTTAAAACAAATGGTTCTAGAGCAATTGGACAGCAACAGGTTAAAAAAAGAACCTGAATCTAATTCTATTTATACGAAAACTAACTTAACATGGACCACAGATTTACTTGTTAAACTAAGAAACTTTTAGTAGAAAACATAGAAGAAAACCTTTGAGATCCACAGATAGGCAGAATTCTTACACTTAAAACCAAAAGCACGACCCATAAAAAGAAAAATTGGTAAGCAAACTTCCTCAAAATTAAAAACTGTTATTCTGTGAAAGACAATGTGAATAGGATAAAAAGACCAACTATAGGTGGGAGAAAATACTTGCCAACCACATATCTGACAAAAGACTGGTATCTGGAATATATAAAGAACTCTCAAATACCAATAGGAAAACAAAGAAACAAACAATGCAATTAGAAAATGGGCAAAAGACATGAAGAAACATTTCACTGAAGAGGCTTACATACGGCAATTAAACCTACAAAAAGATGTTAAACATCATTAGCTATTAGGGAAATGTAAATTAAAACTACAACTAGATATCACTACACACCTATCAGAATGGTTCAATTACGGTGGTGACAACACCAAAAGCTAACAAAAGATGAGGAGAAAGTGGACCGCTCCTACGGGGCTGGTGGCAATGTGAAGGGGTATGGCCACACTGCAAACAGCTTGGCCGTTTAAAAAAAAAAAAACTAAACATGTAGTAACCTTATCACCCAGCAACTGTACTTATGGACATTTATCCCACAGAAACAGGAATGTATAGTCACGCAAAATCTGTACGCAAATGTTTATAGAGGTATTTGTAATAGTCAAAAACTGGAGACAACGCACGTATCCTGCACGTGGATGAATGGTAAAATAAACCCGGACATCCACACCAAGGACTGCTACACAGCAACGAAAAGGACGGCATTACTTTTACAAAAAACAACCTGCAGCAGTCTACAGGAATTACACTGAGCAACAAAAGCTAATCCCCAAGGGCCCCTTATTGTTATGATTCCATTTAATAATATATATATTCTTAAATTCTTAGTTCGTATCTTAAGAAATAATCTTAAAATAACAAATTACAGACATGGAGAATAGGTTAGTGGTTGCCACCAATTACAAAGGAGGTAAACGCAGGAGGGAAGGGCAACACGATGGATCTCTGTGGTCACAGAAATGTCCTGTATCTTGACTAACAATGTCAGCATCCTGGTTGTGATACTGTACTACAGTTTTGCAAGATGTTCCCACGGGTCAAAACTGGATAAAAGGTACACAGGATCACTCTGTATTGTATCTTATAATGCATCTACAATCTACAGTTATATTAAAATCAAAACTTTCATTAGAATAAAAGTGCAATGCAGTCTGTATGTTGATAAACTTTACACTAAAATGCTGGGCAAAATGCAATGCAATTGCAGGACTGCAATCAAGCGCCCCGAGCTCACTGCCAAGATGGGGAGTTTCTCAACACTGAAGATCGTGTGGATTACCAACACAGCACCTGTGACTCACCATTTGCTTCTGCAGGCCATCTAACTTGTCTTCAGTGTTGTCTTCTTTATCCATGTTGCCTCTGAATAAAAGTAAAATAAAAAGCATCACGCACCACCTAGGAGCTATTTTGCAACTGGAATGCTTGCAAGAAAACCCCCTAAATCACTGACCGAAAGGAAAATTAGTGGATCCCTTGCCCACAGGCCTCAAAATCCTGGTTTCTACCAGTGTCATAACTTCTGTGGGCAAGGATCTGCACTCAACTGAGACTTCAGCAGGAGGTGATCTACTCAGACAAGTTCAGAGGGCAGCTATTCGACAGTGATACTTCACAAGCAAGGTCATTACTGCCCACCGAGAGTTACCTGAACATGGGCCTTTAATAAAAGAACAGACTCGAGACTTGAGGCCGTGCAAATCTAGGGAGTCCCGAAGTGCCCCAGGCCCCCTTTCCCCCACAGTGGGGTGAAGCTTCAGGCAGAATCCTTTATTTGGTGGCAGTTACTTCCTCAGGAGGGAGCGGGGCTGCTACTGCTAGGAAGGAAGGACACTGTGCCCTCTTCATCAAGAGACACCTACCTCGAGCTCAGCTGCCTAAAGTCTTCTGTCTTGTCAGCTTAACTATTGCTGATGCCGATCTTTTTCATGATTTGTCTTACATTGACTTTGGAATGTTCCTGTCTCAAATATTCTCATCGATGCTGCTCAGGTTCTGGAGGCAGTGGACTCTCTCCTACCTTAACTACCTCTCACTGCTTAACCACAGAAAGAACAGACGCCCGACAAAAATGTAAGCTTTCCACCACATTTGGGTACCTTACCCACGCAGCGTTTCCCCCCACATCTACCATTAGCATCCCCACTCACTTGGGCTTCTGTTAACATCTCTCCAAATGAGTCTCCACAGAGGAAATTTCTCTTTGGAGCACAGAGTGCTATGGTAGCTAAAGTGTTCATTACGGGTTAAGGACAGATGGAAAATGCATTTCAACCTTTTCTTGGCCTTAGCAGGTAGTTAGGAGCTCCTGGCAGTGCAGGCCCTCCTGGCGAGGTCTGGCTACAGCCCTAGGCAATGCAAAGCAGTATCTGCTACTTTTGGGAAGAAGATCAGTTCAAAGCTTACCAAACCCAAGCTAAGAGATACAATGTTTCCCAAGTGTGTGTGTGTGTGTTGGAGCACCACAGTTCACAGTTCCTGGATGTTTATTTAGCTTTCTAATTAATTTACACATTTGGGGGTTATGCCAACAGTAAGTAAAACTCAGCCAGAGGAGATGCTTCTATACTTTTTTGTACACAACCCATAAACAAGGCCTAGATGCCACAGCCATCATGCAGTGGCTCCTAAATTCACCTTATGCATGGATAATGCATTCTTAAATAATGCCAGAATTTCATCTGAGGCATTGCAGGTCATGAAGCCCGTAGTTGCAGTGCCTCTTAGCTTTCCACCAGGTATGAGAGGTCTGAATTCTTCCTCAAGAATCCTCTGACCAGATAAGAGATGAGGAGGGTAGGATGGTGGGCAGCTCGAGGAACCCATGAGGTACAGGAACTGGTGTTTGGTTCAAAGTGCTCAGAAGTCAAGGAAAAGGCCTGAGGCGTAACAGGATGTAACTAATGCAGCGACTTTGGAGAATGGTTCCAGCATGGCAAGACTGAAGGGACATGCTGGGCTGTGAGGGAGAGACTGTGAGAATGCTGGGTATCCACGGAGGGGGTCAGAGATTCACGGCGTAACATGTCATATCACAGATGGCTCACCTGTCAGGAATGTCTGGGGTCCCATCCGTAACACCCTGTTCTGCAGAAAGGGACTTCTCATCTGGCATCCCAACTTTCTCCAGGAAGCAAAGTGCTGGGTCTGCTCGCATGGCATTGTACCTCTCATACCCTGCTCAGGGATAATGAGAAATGTCAGAGGCATGTTAGAACTCACAAAATCTACCCTGGGCCCTGCACAATCATTTTGTTTTCCTTGTTAAGTGAAAAATAAAGCAATCAAAAACACTATTTAAGATTAATCGAATCCTATAAGATTTCCTATCCGAGGAAGATCCTTGAGCTAAAGTAGATGCCCAATGAGTTAAGTGTTTGACCAAAAATAAAAGCTGACGTAAATATTCTGTGTCTGTGAAGAGACACGAGGTATAGACGCAATAATGCTCACTTGTTTACTTCTCTTGGACAGCAAAGGGAATCACACAAGTTGCTTTTGCAACTTCTTCCTCTCAACCCCCAACTCTGGACATCTTGTTACCTCCGGGATGGGCTTTGTTTTCTGATAGTCTGATTCTATCCCTTGTCTTAGAAACAGAATTGAACCAAGTGATGGATGCAGGGGATAAAATACAAGGAGGACTACTGTGCTTGTTAATCAGATTAAAAATGATTTATTGCGTCCATATTCACCAACTCAGTATGAAATACTAATCCACTGGCCAGGGCTTTGGAATTACCCCTCACCACATCCCCAAAGCCAAACAGAGAATGAGCATATTCGACTCAGAGGAGACCCTTGAAAGGGAGCCAAAACAATGAAATAATATCACTTTCACTTTGATAATCCCAGGCATGAGAATTTATTATTTTTTTTATTGAGTTGAATGTAATTTGATAACGAGACAGGATTTGGTCACAGAAAAGATCCAAATCTATCGTTATAGCCAACTTTCTTGGGGTAAATGCTTTCAAGATGGTCAAAACCCTTCCCACGTTGCTCCCAGGAACAAGGTCCATTCCCAGCTCTGTTGTAGGCATAGAGAGGGCCTGTCATAGGATGGGGGACCAGCATGGGTGCTAACAACAAACTGGATTTTACTTTGTTGGGTATTTTGCTTCCTTGGTTTTTGTTCCATCAGCGCTGTGGGTGTAGTTCTGTCCTCCACCCTGTAGGCAGCAGCTGGTACTCTGTCTCTGAGGAGCTGCAGGTACTTCACCTTTTAATCCAAAGGAACTCTTCTGCTATCTCAATGACAGGCGCTGCCCACCTGAGGCATACGGCAGGAGACTGTGATGCCTTATGCTCTTTATTCACTATTCCTTAGGGCAATTATTTGATTATGGTCAGTCTCTCTCATGAGATGGTGGGCTCCTTAGGAAAAGTTTTTTCTCATCATTACACATTCAGTATCTAGTGTGGGGCCTAACACCATACACGCACAACAAAAGATTGGATGAGTCAGTTTTGTCCAGATTCTCTTCCAATAATCATTGTAGAAATAGAAAGAGCCATTCGCACCTTCTCCCCGTGTTCTACCCCAGTTCTCTGCAAAACAGAAACATCCTCAATGTTCCTGCTGCCTTGAGGAAATTCCTGCTATCTCCACGTTCTGCTCCCCATGAAAAGAGGGGTGCTTCACCTAATAGGTGAGAGGCTGAAAGCTTTCCCCACCAGCCCTTTCCTCCTGAGGGAGGCTCACTGTCCATGTGTCCTGCCCTCATGTGCTCTCTGCTTGACAAGGTTCTTCTGGCAGCCTACTACCTGGCTACGCTTCTACTCTGCAGACTTTCTCTTGTCTTGTGGAGGTCTGAAGTCTAGACAGATTCTGCATTCCTATTTCTCACTGAGCTATGAAGCTGGAGGCAAGGAGGAGTGACTGATTCAGTCCCTTAGAAAACCCCAACAACTGCCCTTTGAGTTGTAGGCACTCTAAGAGCAATGCCAATAAACACATAGTAGATGACAGCCTTTGAGGGGCGGGGGCTGCTTGCCTCTTCAGTCTAGAAGCCCCTTTCTAAGAAGGTCAACAAAAATACGATACTTCCTATCTTAATAAAAATTGCATAAATCCAGGCTGCCTTAGGGGGCCATAGTCAGTTAATGCAACAGAGAGCTATCGAGAGCATCATTCGGAATACGTTTGCTATGGGCCCTTCTTGCTGCAAACCACCAAAGGTGCAGGCAATTCTCCCACGGGGTCAGCTCGGAGATGGAACCATGGCTCTACCCTTCTGATCTAAGTAGGGCTGTGGCAGGGTATGTCTGGGGTGGCCTGCAGGAGCCACAGAACTTCAGACAATGGGTGGCTGTGTTTCTTCACAAAAAAAAATGGTGGCAGCAGCACAGCTCCTACTTAGGCCTCCATAGGACAGAGGCGAGGCAGAGGGCTTCCTGACACGACTTCCTGAAAAGTGAACACCAGATAGCCTGGCTTTCTGAAAATGTCATATCTCTACCAGCTGCTGGGTATCTGGGAGCCTGACTATCACCTGGTAAGACCTGTTGTGTGGGCTAAGTTACACAGGTGTGGTCAGGTGTGTTACCTAGATGAGGACGGGTCTAAGCCTATGCTCATGGGATGTCTGATGGGCAGCATCCAGTCAGGGGGAGGATCTGATCTGTATTCTGGAAGACTCCAAGGAGGATGAGTCCATGAAGCCAGCCACAGGCATCTGTCCAATGCAGTCTGGGTAGATCCAATGTTAACATCCAACTAAACAGGGCTGGTTCTGTGCAAGAGTGAGCTGGGTGTGCATGTGTGGTTTAGGTCCAGTCCCCTAGCACTGGGTATACTTTACAGTGTGTCTGAAGTCATCATATGCCACAGTCAGCCACTTCAGGCATCAGGCACATGCCCTCAGCCCTGACTCTGACTACTGAGTTCACCTCAACTGGCAATCTGGGGAAATCTGAATGGAACGGGTGATGCATCATCTTAAGACCTCATGGGTGTACTCAGGAAAACACTTAGGAAAGATCAACTCATACCCTCCCAAAATGCTTCGTAGAGTAGAGGAGTTTTAGATATGGAAGTGACCTTAGACACCATCTGGTTGACCCTTGAACATTCCTAATATAAGACTAAGAGAGATCAATTGCTTAATCCTACTACCCTAAACCTTGCTCAGGGATGAAAAAGCTAATAGGTTTGGTGCCAGTGTTAACTTGCCTTTCTTAGGAGAGAAGGGGTCTTGAGCCCCCTAGAGTTCCGTCCTCTGACGTATTCTGAGGCCACACTGTTAGCCACATTTTCCTGATGAATTACACCCATCATCACCGTGTAAAGACCCTCTTTATCCCAAACTATCCTTCTTTCCTTAAAGACCTTTTGTAGGATACGGACTTTGCCATATGGTCTTATGGGTCATATGTGTTTTGTTTCTGGTTTGTTGTTAGTACTTGCCTGGCACATCCTGCTTTACATGGCAACCGCCTTCTCTCTTCCACCTCATCTCTTTCATGTCTCCATCTATCTCTCAGGAGTATGTTCTTCTATCTCCGCTTCCCTGGGCCAAAGAGCGTTCTCTTGCCCTCCTTTCCTGGAGGGGCTTGTTTCCATTTTCTGTGTGGGCATTAAAAACCCAGTCTCTTTGGCTTGCTGTCCTATCAGTGAGCTTTCAGCTCTGGCTTTAAGTGACCTCTTCATTCGGGGATTTTCCTTTATTTGTTTCATGTGCAGCTAGGTAATTTCACATTATCGTCCTAACCCACCCAGGCTTTCTGTATGTCTGTGGTGTGTGTGTGCTGGGTCGGAGGAGGGTCGGAGGGGAAGCATGTAGATTCTGTCTGCCATACTGCCGGGACTTCATGTTGTATTCCCTTTCCACATCACGTTCTCTCCACCAAGGTATGGCTATGTGCCCTAAAACTACCACTGAAATGAGACACAGGGCCAATGGACTTTCTTCCACAACAAGTTCAGATGCTCTGAATTTGGCTGCTTCTAGCAACTTGTCTCTGGGTTCTTTCCCAAATTAGATTAAACCAAGTTTTGGTTGCACTGTGGTTCCTTGTGCTTAACAGAGAGGTCATATGTTTCTTCTTACCACTTCAGAGCTGAGTTCCAGCCCTGCACTGTCCAAAAGAGGAACCACATGTGATTATTTAAATTTCAGTTCCTTAAAATTACATAAAATTAGAAATATAGTTGCTTGGATGTACCAATCATATCTCGGAAGTATTCAACAGTCACATGTGGCTGGTGGATTCCATAGTGGACAGTGCAGAGATAGATAGGACATTTCCTCCATCATCACAGGTAGCTCTAATGGATAGCACTTTTCATCCTAACCCCAGCAGTTTGACAAAGGGCTCTGGGGAGCACTGGATCTCCCACTGTAACACCAGAATCCAAGCGTTGAGGGGATTCCTCATTAAAGTAAGTATAGGCATAGTTGTTAAGTAAACGTGATTGGTTGGCCTCCAAATGTTGAATTCTACTGATTAGGCATATCTGAGAAAGTTAACTTTCCAAAGGGAGAGCAGTAAGTAACAGCAAAACAGCACTAAACATCTCCTCCGCTTCTATCTACTGCCTAGCCCTGCCCTAGGCAGTCTACATACATGGTCTCATTGAATCTTCAAACAACACTCCAGGTAGGCTGTTTCGATACTCTCTCCATGGTACAGGCGAGGAAACTGGTCAGAGAATTTATGATTTGCTCAAGGTCTTAAATTTACTAACTGGCAGAGCTGACAGTGAAAGTCTGTTATGACCAACTCTTTCCACTTTGAATCCTGCTCTCCAGTTTAAGATTTCAGTTAATTCACCAGGCAGGGAAGGTATCCACCAGGTACATGACAATGACTATCATGTGGCGCTTCCATCATTCACCTTGACTGCTGGCTGAGGGCAAGGGCAGGTGCTCAGGACAGTGCCAGAAGTGAAGAAAGGCGGTACTTATTTCAGTTTTCCCAAGCTATTCAAAACCTCTCTCAGTCCCCTGGACTCTTAGTTACCACATTTTTAAAAAAATGTTCATACCATTTTGTATTCTTAAATTTTTATACCAATGGGGCAAAAAGATACATACTAGGAATGTGTAGATTGTCTAGAATGATCTTAGGATTCTACATACACACGAAATGCTAAAACCTAACATTTTCCCTATTTATTCCTTCACTCAAGAAATGCTACGTGTCTACTGTGTGCCAGGAACTAGGCCAGGCACTGGGACTCTAAGAGTGAAGAAGAGTGAGGCAGTCCAAGGCCCGACAGCATGGACAGGCTCTTTGTAACCATAGCAGCCCTTGTGAAGCTCCTCACCGATATTATGAACACTCACCATATTTTCATGACTCACACATTCATCTGAGAGGACAGAGGTGAGGCTACTTTCTACCAGAGATGTGCGGCAGGTTATGGAGTTTCTCAGGAAAGACAGAGCATTCACTGAAATACACACCATGTTTGAACACGCCTATCAGAAGGGACTTATCGGCCTCAGCGTCCCACCAATCCACTGGGATCTCCACGTAGTCAATGTCAGGCAGAGGCACTTCTAGTTCCCTGTGGAAGGAAGGGCGTAGACTCAGAGTTCCTTCAACACAGACACAAAACAATGCAAGAACTACTGGCTGAGCCCTGGTATTAAGCCACATCCCTAGTGGCATGCTAAGAGGCTGAAGTTACAAGGACTTAGGAGGCTGTGGGCCACGGTTTCCTAACCAGGACTTTCCATCACCCTCCTCCAGTGAATTATTTCCACATATGTACTTGATTTCCAGGCTTCGAAACAGAACCCGGAAGCACCTCTTGGAGAACCCATCAGTAAGTCTGGGTGGGGCTTTGGGGTCCACATGTAAAATGTAGATATCCATCTTCAGTTGAGAACCACAGCAAAAGCCATCAATCTATTGGTCAACTGAAGGTAGAACATCTTCCACATGGTCAAATTCATACAGAATCAAATGCTGTAAAGTCCCCAAATCATCTTGGTTCAACATGTAGAGATCTCAAGCAGTGTTTGAGAATAAGACAGTCAGCACCGGTACATGCTGGGGTATGAAGACAGCCTTTCAGAGGAGAGGTCCCACAGTAGGTGGCAGCGGTCTACTGGGTCAAAACTCATCACCAACTGCACTGCTCCTGGCCAAAGGGACAGACATAATGTGCCCTAAGGGGGAGGCCTATAGGACTAGCAGGCCTGTACCATCAGCCCCTCACTGAACTCTGTCCATGTTCTGAAAGCTCACACGGACCCTTAGCTCACTGTCTTCATTTGTCTGAGCGCAGTCCTTACTCTTTAAGGCTTTGGGTCTGGGGAGAGAAATCCACCTGATGGCTCCTCTCTCCCACCTCCCAGCTGTCTGGGATGGCTCCTCTGTAGCATCTGAAGTTTCTTCTTCCATCAGGCTATTCTTCTTGTGACACACGGCTAACTGCCCCTCCCCAGGCCCAGCTCCCTCTGTGGGAATAGTGGTCCATGGCCCTACCATTCCAGCCAGTGCTCCCTTTCTGGCTCCACTGTAGGGCCCACTGCTCTGCCAGGGTGCTGCCAGGAGCTAAATGACTTTTCTGGGATGAAATGCTATTCATTCCTCATGCACTGACAGCCAAGATTGAGGAGGGCAGAGGAAAGGAAGGAAGGGCGTGGGTAATGGACTCTCCGTGTTCTATCTAGCTCCTTCCATCTACATGTTCTAAGAAAGCAGAGCGGGATGAGAAAGTTCAGATAGATTATTTCTGCCAGATCAGGTTGAATTCTGCTGCATTTTTATGATTCATAAATTGAATCTCCTTACCAAAACACTCAACCTCCCTATACCCATTAGAAATGACTATAGCAACTACAGAAAATATTATCAAGTTTGTAATGGTTGCTCCTGATTACAAATTGTCCTTTACCTCTCTCCTTTAATGCCCCGTCCCACCCCCATCACCGCTAAAGCCATTGGCACTGTCCAATGGAAAGAAAGAGGAAAGGGGCGCCTGGGTGGCTCAGTCATTAAGCGTCTACCTTAGGCTCAGGTCATGATCTCAGAGTCCTGGGATCGAGCCCTGCATCGGCTCCCTGCTCAGCAGGGAGTTTGCTCCTCCCTCTCCCCCTACTTGTGTTCCCTCTCTCACTATGTCTCTGTCAAATAAATAAAATCTTTAAAAAAAAAGAAAGAAAGAGGAAGAAGAAACCATGGCCACAGGTAATCTCAAAGCAAAGCTGAAATACCATTCTTTCTGGTTTTCTCCGGGAATGATAGGCATTGTACAGGACTAGAGCAAATAGCATGTCTAGGGGTGAAGGAGGCTGTCCTGTTTCATCAAGTGGTTGGTAGCTGGGAGCACGGCGGCCTCATTCTCTGAAATCTTGGGAGATTCCCACAGGATTCTACTTTGGAATCCTTTGGAAACACTAATTTACAAAACTAAGGTGCAAACAATCAAACAGGGCACCAGGTATTACTAGTATGATTAGCAAATACAGAGAACTGCTCAAATGTGGAAGGGCACTACGGCCAAGAGTGGGATTCTGAGCAAAATGCCCAGGGCACACCCGTCGGACCAAACATATCAGAGTATGAATACTCATCCCACAACGACTAGTTAAGGCAGGGAAATAACTGTTCAAACCAATGTTACAACACCATCTGGAAAAGCAAACTAACTCAAAACCTCACCAAAAGCTGTGCCGTAGAGAAATGAATTTCTCCTTCATTTCATGTGTAGGGGACCTGCCCACTCTACCATGTAGGTAACTGACCCCGGGCTGGGTGTGGACACGGGCCTCCAGAAGCACAGGCAGCTTTGTCCATCTGCACGAACAGGCACCATGTGGCAGCTCTTTAGCACTGAGCTCTGAGAGCTCCAGTTGGTTTGGTTTACCTGGCAGGGGTTCCTTCAAACGCTTTCTCAGCTGCCTCTCCCAGTATTTCAGCTTTTAGGTAGTACAGCATCCGGACTCGCAAAAGTACCCTGTGAAAGGTGAACACATTAATGCAAAGGTATCAGAACCACGAGCTGCCTGTAAGTTGCGACCCCCAAGTGGACACAGGGAAATTCTGGGTGTTCCCATGTTATTAGTGACGTGAAGTAATATATGAGAAAGCACTAGAAAAACAAAACCCAAGGTACTGATGACAGATGCTACTGTGACTATCCCCCTTTACACAGAAAAACATATCTCACCATCATCTGCTAGGTCACCCTGTTAGCCATGGGCGGCAGCAGAAACACTGTTCCTCCTGGTCTATAAAAGAGTACTCAACCCTCCCACAATGACCTCTGGGGCAGCGCTGCCCTCCAAGAGGCTGGTTAAAGTTTACTAATCTACCGAAGAGTAGGTCATGTTGAATGGTGCTGTTTTCAGTTTCACTTGCACACAGTTAAAATGGATATTCACGGCAATACTGCCAGAATAGAATCACGTCTTCTCTCCCGAGGTGCTCAGTTCCCTGGATTTTGCACGGAGCACACTCAAGCTCCAAGGGCAGGCACCAAACACACTCGAGACAAGGCGATTAAGCAAGTATTTATTGGGCAACTCCTGTGTGCTCTGCACCACGCTGGGTCCTGTGAGGCACATGACGGAAGTAAGCGATTTAGCTCTGTCCTTGAGGGGCCTACAGCATCTGAGTGTGAAGTGAGCCCAACCAGGAAAGACTTACTGTGCAGAAGAGGACCAGGGGGTCGAGGGTTGGGGAAGGCACGGAGAAGTCTACCAGGGTCAAGGAGATGCTTCCTATGTGCAGCAGAGCTGCCAAGAGGTTTCGAAGAGGACTTGTAACTTGTTCAAAACCAGGAAAGAATAAAGGCCAGCTATTAAAAATGAAGGCCCATTACATACATATGAACTGACCTCCATTTAAGTTATTTTAAAGAGAGAGAGAAAGAGAGCACAGAGCACAAATAGCATGTAAAATGTGTGTTATTTTAGGGAAGATAAAAGGAGGCTATACATTCACCTAAGCTGGTCCATGCCCAGAATATCTCTGGAAGAACCAGGTTAGCAGTGATTGCCTCTGGAGGGGGAAACAGGAACTGGACGTGGGAGGAAAGGTTTTTTTTGACAATTTTTAAAAAACACATAAAGTGCCACCGTGGGCTCAAGTAGTAGGTGGCAACACACAAGTTAGAATTTTCAGAATGGAAAAAACGCCCTTATCTTTCTGGTATGCCATTCCTTACCTCAGCTGTCAATCAACTCAAATAATTTTGAGATTTGTTTTTTTAAAGCTCAGACAATAACAACTCTAAGAATTTACAACAGCCACTGATCCTTCTACCTTGCTGACAGTAGCCGCTGGCCTCCTCAGTAAGAAATGGAACGAGGAGGCCTTAGGTATGGAATTCCTGCCTGGTTAGATCTAGCCCAATTGGAAGAAGGCTTTCCTGAAAATGAAAGACAGAGCTGTCTCTATTTCTCTAAACAGAGATGTGCTGGTACTTGGAAATATCTACAGCATGAGGGAAAAGAATTTAAACCGAGTAGTATTCACTTTTCTCCAAATGAGAAGCAAATCAACTCAGAGGACAGATGGGGCAACCCTCCCTGAATGAGAGGATAATCCCAGTTGACATCTAAACTCAAAGTGAAGGAAAACTGGAGTAGATCTGTAATACCCTTAGTCAAACAAAACCCATTAATATTTGGGTGGCATTATTCCTCTTTCCTTTATCTCTTTCTTGAAAAAAACAGAAACTCCACAACATTTTGTTGATATGAACTATATTTCCAGGAGATAAACGTACAGCTTGATGAATTTCCACAAACTGAACACACCTGTGAATCCAGGACCCCAATCAGGAAGCAGAACATGTCAGCAGAAGGCTCCCTGGGTCCCCTTCCAGTCACTACTCCCACCCCCAAACGGATGACCACTCTCCTGACTTATAGCTTGGATCCGAAGCAGTTATTTTTAAAAATTTTTAAAGTTCTTTTGATGACAATTTCCTATCCCTAAATACTATACTACTGCTACTACTGAACAATGCTTTGAGCACTTACTACTGGCAGCGTGTTAGCTCCCTTAATCCAAATAGCAGCGCTAAGAGATGGGACTATTATCATCTTCATTTTCTAGATGAAAGAAAGAAGGCACAAAGAGGTTAAGTAATGCACCTGCTGACAGGTAAGAGGGCTGGGATTTAAATCCATGCAGTCCTGACCGAACAGCCTGTCTTAACCTTTATCTGATATTGGAATGGCAATACCTTTGCTAACAGAGCCTACAATTCTAAAAGCTCACAGTCCAGTTTTGATGAAAAGTCTGCCTGTTCTCCAACGCGCCTCAGGGCAGAACCAGGACTCAAGATCAGTGGGTGGAAGTTTCAAGGAAGCAGATTTTAGATTCAATATACAGAAGGACAATTAATTAGAATCATCTGGTAATTAAATGAGCCCTGCTGAGAAATGGTAAGCTCCCATCAGCGGGAAGGCTAAAGCACAGGCTGAAGATTCCCTGTCAGGGGACTGCCCACAGAACTCCCATGCTGAGTGGAAGAGCTGCAAGTCCCTGTTGGCTCGGAGTCTCTGACTCTTCCTGAGCCAGAACTAAAGAGGACAGCAGTCTCCATAAGATTCAGGATAATAAACAATAGTCAGCATCTCTGAACTCAGAGAAATGCTTTACTGCATTCTTTTTTTTTTTTTTTAAGTAATCTATACCCAATGTGGGGTTCAAACTCACAACCCCGAGATCAAGGTCGCACGCCAGGCGCCCCTACTGCATTCCTCAATTCCCAGCATCAGGCATGCACTCAGGAAAAGTCTTGGGGGTGGTGGTTAGAAATGCTCAGGCCTTCCTCAAAGGTCCGAAATGGTTCTGGTCATCATCTGTGATCATCTCTGCAGGTATCAAGGGAAGTTCTACGTCAACCTCTGCAGCTCAGCCTATTTTCAGCACTCCACGCCCCCATGTGCAGTTGTGAACGGAATAGCCAAATACTACTGCTGTAACTCAGCAGGGCAAAACCCGAGTCCTTCGTTTTGCTCTGCATCTTTCAGTGAATAGAAGGATTTTGATTCTGTCCTGGCCCAAGCACTGTTAGCCTCCCAGCTGGTGAGGTTCACGATTGTGGAGTTAGCTGCGTATGGATTCCTCATCACCCGTCGTTACACATTATTCCTTGGTCACGTCTCACAGTTGACCCTTTCTCCCCAACTCTCTAGTCAGCACCCTTCTCTAGGTCCTCATGATCAATACTTGAATTATGACAGAACTCTCCTAGATGGCCATTCAGCTCTAGGTTGACCTATTCCATCTTGCTGTTGCCAGATTAATTCTTCTCCTCAAACATTATTATTATTTTTTTTACCACATGTCTCACTTGTTCAAGAAAGATGGCTGCTTAAAGTACAAGAGAATCTTCATCTAGTTTGCAGTGCGAGGTCTCCTATGAGCTCTCTTACTGAGGCTGCCTCTTCTGCATGTCCCCTCTGTGGTGACTCTGAGTCAGTCACATGGAGCACGCTACCAGGTCCTGCCCCAGGCAGGTTCTACCA